TATAAAAAGAGACGTAGGAAGGTTACACAATGTGCCCAAAGTTAGAGAGGTATCTAAACAAGCTGATGCAAAAAGAGGCATCCTTATTTTCCTTGATAGGCAACAAGCTTGGAGGGTACAATGATGATGGTTCCCATTTTCAAGGCAAGTATATTGTGATGGGAGAAGTGGACATCTGAAGAAACCATCACAATGTAGTCTAATGAACGGTTACAAGTATATACATGGAATACTGTGGGAATGCAGAGATGTATACCTAACCCCTCCCAAGGGAAAATCATGGAGTCCTCCCATGAAATGATATGGAATTGAGTCTTGAGGATGACTAAGTTAGTGCCAAGAAGACAAAGCCTAAAACAGCATTCTAAGTAAAAGGAACAGCAGATCTAAGAGATGTATATACAAGCAGATTTCTTACTCAACACACACATACACATACTGTATACGGTATATACACATATACAGTAACCATCTTGTAATATACGTATATCAAATCACTTTAAACTTAGTGTTATATGTAAATTATATCTCAATACAGCTGAAAATAACTAAAAACATGGTTCCTTCAAGGATCAGCAAATTTGTTCAGCATGAATAAAAAGTAGAGAATATGTAGGAAAAAGGAAAAGACAAAGCCGGCGAGGTGGACAAAGTCCAGACCTTGCTGTCCAATCTGGTAGCTACTAGCCACATGTGGTTACTTACACGTCAATTACTTAAAATTAAAATGCTAAATTAAAATCCTCAGTCATACCAGCCACATCTTAAGTGCTCAGTAGTCACTTGTGGCTAGTTACTACCACCAATTTGGAAACAGATATATAAAATCAGAGAGGAAGGAGAAAATAATCTTGAAATCAAAGTGATTAATCAGATATCTTTTAATGAAGAGATTATGAGACACTTTCCAATTTAGAAAAAACTTTCCACATTTTTTTTTTTTAAAGATTTTATTTATTTATTTGACAGAGACACAGCGAGAGAGGGAACACAAGCAGGGAAGAGTGGCAGAGGGAGAAGCAGGCTCCCCACTGAGCAAGGAGCCCGATACAGGATTTGATCCCAGGACTCTGGGATCATGACCTGAGCCAAAGGCAGACGCTCAACCGACTGAGCCACCCAGGTGTCCCTCCACGTTTCTTAAAATGAAAAAATACTGCTTTTATAGTGAAAGTGGGGTGGGGGAGTATGGGAGATGCTATTGCAACAGTTCCTTTTTTTTTTTAAGATTTTATTTATTGATTTTAGAGACAAAGAGAGCAAGTGCGAGCAGGGGGAGGGGCAGAGGGAGAGAGAATCCTAGGCAGACTCCCCAGTGAGCACGGAGCCCAACACGGGGCTTGATCTCAGGACCCAGCGGAAATTAAGAGTTGGAAGCTTAATCAACTGAGACACCCAGGCGCCCCAATGCTATTACAATGGTTCTAAAAAGAATGACAGTGAACACTAAGGCGATGACATGGGGAAACTAGACTATGAGTGTGCAAACATGTTCCATGTTCTTTAGCAACCACCCCTTAAGACAGGCAAACCCAATACTACCATCCTCATTTTTTGAGGTACAGCAACCAAAGCACTAAGCGTTTAGACGAAACACCCTAACATACAGTGAGTAAGGAAGAATTCAAGACAGATGGCTCATGAAAATGCTAGACTATTTTCGGTTGGCATAATTACCCATCTTACTCTCACTGAATATTATTCCAATCACCTTCTTGCTATTTCTCAATATGAAATACACCTTCCTCAAATATATAAAATATTCTGAGAATATTCAAAAACATTTAAATTTGTTGAAAACTCTGAGAGCAATACCCAAAGGAGTTTCAAAAATGTTACTGTTATAGAAGTGCTCTTTTTAACATTAAGAAAAAAAAACCTTTCACTTTCACATTGAAATTATGGTTCTCATCATCTTTCTATAAAGCAATGTATGACAAAAGCACGACAATAATTCATAAAAATAAACAATCTTTTGCGGCGCCTGGGTGGCTCAGTCGTTAAGCATCTGCCTTCGGCTCAGGTCATGATCCCAGGGTCCTGGGATCGAGCCCCACGTCAGGCTCCCTGCTCAGCGGGAAGCCTGCTTCTCCCTCTCCCACTCCCCCTGCTTGTGTTCCCTCTCTCAATGTGTCTCTGTCAAATAAATAAAAAAAATCTTAAAAAAAAAATCTTTTTCAATCGTTCTAAGCATTCAATTAGAGAATAAAACATGAGAAGTCTTTCGTATACATAAAACTGTGATGTACAGGTTGTATACTAATAATACTTATGACAAAGACAACAGTAACAAAAAATTCTGTACATCTTTAAGAATTTCTGACCTTCAGCATTTCAGCAAGGAAAAGCTGATGATGGTGAGCAAATGAAAAAAGAAACTGTCAAATCTGTACTGCTGTCTACAAGAAAAAAATGATTCCTTTTGATCTTTCTCTCTGAATTGCTGACAGAACAAAAGACCTGAAAGACCCTAGGGCAGCCATAAAGCCAATTTTCTACCGGATGTTTTCACAAATACTAAGATTTTTGCTGCAAAGCATCCTTTATCTAGACCAACTATCACTACGTAGGTATTTAGACACATAGGTTTTACATACAGGTGACATTAATGAATAGTAAATGAAAACCTCTTAAAACCTTTCCCAAGTTGCCTGAAATACATCTGTTTTAGGGGGAAAAAAGGAAACAGAAACTATTAATTTCAAGAAATAGCAAATTTACGTAACATGACCAAAAACCCTTTTCCAACCCAGTCTCATAGTTAATAACTACCGTGAATCAACTTAGTTCTCCCCTCTACCAAATTCCTGACAGTACTTAATAGGGTAAGTACTTAAAACTAGCTACACAAACCTTTATATCCAACAATGCCACACTTCACTTAGTCATCAAATGCACAGAATCTCAAGCAGTTTGCCTGCTGCTCTTTCTGGTCTACACAGGAAACCAACATATCCCCAAGAGGACAACTTTCAGCACACATGGGAATTAGAAGTACATGACTCAGAAGCAAAAGCCACAGCTACCTAGAGAAAATGTAGAATTTGCCTGGGCTTCAAGACAGGACACCAAAAAAGTCTAAGAACACACTAGAGCTGAGACTTGAGTAAGTGATCAAAACATACAAACTATGCACTGTAGCTCAGATAAGGAAAACCAAATAATACAATTAAAAATAATTTTACTTCTCAGAATTTTTCTAAAGAAACCAACATATGGACAAACGTAACCACAAAGATAACTAGCACCTTATTTTTTTTTTATTAAGATTTTATTTATTTGACAGAGAGAAAGAGAGCACAAGCAGGGGGAGCTGCAGGCAGAGGGGGAGGGAGAAGCAGGCTCTCCACTGACCAGAGAGCCCAATGCAGGGCTCGAACCGAGGACCCTGGGATCATGACCTGAGCTGAACGCAGATGCTTAACCAACTGAGCCACCCAGGTGCCCCAGCACCTTATTTTAAAAAAATAAAAACAAAAAAAAATCTAAATGACCAAATATTGTCAAGTATGTAGATTATGACAATTATTATAGTGAAGTACCATAACACTCTTAAGAGTAATGTAAAAAAAAAATTTTTTTAAGCATTCAAAGATGTTCACATCACACACGTAAAAAAGTTATCATATATTTAAAGTTTTAAAAAGCCAAAAAGCTTACATTTGTATCTCTATGTAGAAAAAAAAACCTTTACCCAAGAATATATGAAATGTCATCAATGGTTACATAACTGGGCAGTATGACTAGTCAATGTTTAATTTTTCCAAAACAGACACATATTACTTGTACAATAATGCAAACATGTTAACTGAAATTCATTCATTATGGGGAAATTTATTACATAAAAAGAAATTTTTACATAATAAGAACAGGAAATGAACTTTGTGTGCCTCTAGATGTGGCAAAAAAAAAAAATTGGGGGACTATTTCAAGTTACTCTTTGTGTTAGAAATAGAATGCATGGAACCAAAGACATAAGGCAAATGTGACTAAATCCTTAGAGCTGCCTTGAATTTAACATTTATTCCACTATACACAATTCCCTATATAATCCTTATTCCTAACATTGAAGGAGGAATTTGACAACCAAATGAATTAAACATACCCTTGGGAGTTTTGTTGCAATCAATCTCTAAACCGTTTTTATATTTTTGGGGGGATCATGACTTCTTTGAAACTGATAAAATAACCCTGGATTTATTCTTTCTTAGATTATCCTTACTGTTTTTAAGATTTTATTTATTTATTTGAGAGAGACAGAGAGAGCATGAGTAGGTGAGAGGGAGAAGCAGATTCCCCTCCAAGCAGGGAGCCCGACGGGGGGGGGGGGGGGGCTTGATCCCAGAACCCTGACTTAAATGACTGTGCCACCCATGCATCCCTATCCTTTCTTCTTGATTCAAATACTTTTTAGTTTAAAATGAAGTTCTCTACAATTACAAAACTGAAGACTTCTGGAGAAACAGCTTATGTTTCTTCTAGTGTTACAAAAGCTAATTATTTCATCTGTTTCTTCTTCTTCAATATTTGCATGTAAAAACATATCGCTAACACTTGCCCACGTTTCTGCACTAACACATAGTTTCTGTATCTCTCCCATACCACAAGAGAAAAATTGACATATTTTTATTTCTTTTGTATGCCTTACAGCATATCAGGAAAAAAGCTCCCAACCTGAGTTCTCAGAACTCTTTTCCATATTCCATTCAGACAATGAAAAGGCAAGAAAATCCACAAATAAGGTCTAAAAAGATATGGTAAGATTTTTTTTACAGTATTTAAACAAAAAGCAAAGCAAAAAACAAAACTTCCACTGGTAAGAGCATTTCTACCAAACTCAACTGAGCAGGACTATTTTTAAAAAAATTATATATATTTATCTGCTCTAAAATTTTATACGTTAAGCCCTAAGTGTTGATATTACCAAAAATACATGTAAATTAAAGATACTATATATAAAAATTAAGGATGCTCCATGAACTTTTCCTAAATACACTCACAGAAAGATAGCTGTTAATGTCCACATCATCAGTAATAGTTTGGCGCTCTCCTTTATAATTAATTTTCCGAAACCTTCGTCGAGACTGTCTGGCAGGAATTTCTCTTTGTAGAATACTGTCTTCATTATCTTTGGAATTCTCTACCTGAAACACATGTTCACATTCCTGATTAAATATCCAGTTTTTCCATATTACTGACAGTCTATGGAGTCTTAACAGGCTCAAAGGAGGATTCATTTACTTCTTGCAAGTAACTGCCTCAAGAAAATAATCTGTGCAGGACAACACTCATGAGTTCAAGATTAAAGGTGACATTATTATAAATATCTGGAGACCACAGTTTCCTTCCAGGAAATAGTCTGTCTTGCTCACATAAACATATATGCTCTAAAAAAGTCACTTACCAGAAGCAAAGGCTGTTAACTACACCTACACATTCAATAATTAATTACCACTTCTGGGTTAGTCCAATTATAAGCTGCATGATTCTACATGTATTTTATTTAGCCAATAATCATGGCTATGATTTCAGTGAAATGCTCAACAGCAAAACAAAAATGCTTTATGCATTATTCTTTGGTGTCCATCCTAATGTATGACAACAGAGTAAGGCTAGCATCCTTTTTTTTTTTTTTAAGATTCTGTTTTTGAATAATTTCTACATCCAATGTGGGGTTCGAACTCACAACCCTGAAATCAAGGGTTGCACACTCCACTGACTAAGCCAGCCAGATGCCCCAAAGCTGGCATATTTTAATAAAGAAGTGAAAACTAACATCTACTGAGGGCTAAAATGGGCCAGCATGCATAAACATTGTATTATTTAGTTCACACAGTAAGCCTGTAAGCAATATTATTTGTAGCTTATAGATGAGCAAAGCAAAATCCCAAGAGATTACTTTCCAGTCTCACACTGTGATAATTATTACAGTTGAGTTGGAATGTAGGTCTGTGTCCAACATTTATGGTACTGATACAAGACCACATTGCCTGTCCAATCACAGATGAAGCCATAAATTAAAAATTATTTTTAAGAAGGCATATTGATGGTCTACAGTGTAACATATAATTACCATCACATCACATAAACAATATTTTTCCCCCACAAGTTTTCCTTCAAATGTCCTATCCTTGGCTAATATCAAAAATTTCCAGTTACCCAAGTATGAAATTTCATGAATATCCCTAATTCTCCTGCTTGTTTTCCAAATCTTATTTTCAATCACTTCTCAGAACTTGTCGATCCTTTTTTTACAAAGTACTCTCATATTGCCCTTTCTTTCATTCCCATTACCATCATTCCTTACTCAATTCTTAATCACTTCAGTCCTGAACTATACGAAGAAAGAGGTGATGTTGTTGCTTCAGACACGTTCCTCTCCAACTCCATCCTATATCGTCAAATAAATCACCTCAGTAAATCATCACTTTATCACATTTCCTGTACAAAATGCTACAGTGGACCTGTAACAGTTACTGAATGAATTTTAAACTATTATTTGTGATGTTCAAAGCCACTTATGACCCATCCTCCAAATTTATTACTGTACCTTATAAAAGTAAGCCTGGAAAAACTGCTCCCTTACCCTCTTCCCCACAAAAAAAAACTTTGTCACATAAAAGCTCTAATGAGATGCACAAAACTTCCTGATGATTTCTCAGAAAGAGTTGATGTCTGTCTGTTTCAGGTATGAGTGGTACAAGAGTTCAAAAGTAGTGGCCAAGTCAATATGACTATTCATGGGTCCCTATAATATAGTAACTTACATTTTACTAAGTAACTTTACTTTGTGTTATCCCACCCATTCTGTCTTCACTTGCTGAACCACCGTTCATTTAAGACACATCTCACTTACCATCTCTTCTACAATTACAAAAGGCATTCCTGTCCTCAGACCACGACTACTTTATTTTGTGTACACAATCTGGACTTCTCATAAATAGGACATGCTCTCCACTGCCTTCAGGCCTTGTATATGCTGCTGTGCTACTGCCACAAAGGCCACTCCTCCTCTGCCAACATCGTGGCATCCTTCCCATACTTCATGACCCCTCCCTCCTCTGCCCCAGGAAGCTACTACCCCTTCACATCAACCGTAATTACTACATAAGCCCATGTCATTAACAAGCTAACAAGTTCCCTAAGACAGGAACTGCGTTATATATATATTAATCTTTGTTCACTGAACATTCAGAAAGTTTGCCAAAATGGGCAATACATTAGATTCTTTCTCCCCATATATGATAGGTCCTTGGAAATACATGTAAGGTACTCAAGAAATATAAGGGTAGGCAGAGTAAGTTACTATTACTCTTCTGAACGGTAAAATCCAGAAGAGACATGGGAATGATTTCCACCTCAACAAGTATTGAATTTTGAACAGGTAGCAATATATGCTACCTCCCTGAGATTTAATTTGCTTTCTAAAAAATGTCAAGAGTACCAAAGTAGTCACTCCATCACTACACCAGAGCATGTACCAGAAAGTAAAGTTATATCACTTAAGGCTCACAACACTCCTATCACATAGCTACTGTTTCGATAGATCATAGTTTCTTAAAACTTAAGTAATTCATACAAGTGGGTAAGGACTCAAAACCCAAGTGTGACTACTAAAATTCATCTCCTTCATACTGCCCTATCCCAATGGATGAATTATATTATCCACGTTAGGTGAAACTTCAGTATCACATAATCCTTAAATTTTCTAATATCTACTATTTATTGAGCAAAAGCAGAGATAAACAATAAAGGCTTTCCAAAATATAAATAGTAAATTAAGTCAAGGAAAGGAGTTTCTAAGAGTTTCTAAGAGTCTCAAAATTTTAAGTACCAAATGAAAACAAAGACTAAACAATGTATGAAGGATTAAGTGCCCTCAACAAACCTGCCAAGTAAACTGAAATGTGAGATTCAAAACAAAACTGCAAATGCATACCTCATGTGACAAAAGAAATCCAAAGGCCAAGATTGAAGTGAAAGCAAAAATACCAGGAGAAAGGTTACTAACAAAGCTCCTAATCTACCAGAAGACAGATTTCCTAACTCTAGAGACTAGCCCCTCCACTTTGATGGTTGTAGGGAGTGAGAAAAACAATACAGAATCCATCAAAGATGGGGAATCCAATAGGAGACTTACTCGTAAGCTCAACTCATCTAGCTGAATCCTTATTGTGAGGGTACAGAGGTATAAGCTTATCCTGCAGAAGGAGACAGGAAGAAAACTTGCTTGGCACTGAGAGAAGAGGGGGTAAAAAGCAAGGAACCAAACAGACAAAAAACATTTTCCCTAAGAATTTAAAATATAAGCTATCCCTCATGCAGGTCATTAGTTTGAATTCATAATACCTTAAGCATGAAGTAAATTTAAAGATGTTCAGGATTGATAATGTACATATGCAACGGACAAAAACAAATCTGAAACCTCTTTGCAAGACTTTAACTTTAACCCAAACCTCAAAGAATTCCCACACCTATTGTTCAAGATATATGACTTCCCAGATAAACATACCTTCTCCCCCCAAAAAAACACAAGGAAAAAGACCCCCAACTACAACAAAAACCATGAAACATGGTAGGATAACCACGAACAAATGACAGACATAATGAGCAATAATGGCCCAGGAAAAGGACAACAGACTCACACTTGCAAATATTCCAATGTATTTTAAGTATTAGAAAATATAAAGTTATGATAAAAAACTTTCCAACAAAAAGTAACTTGAAAATAAGCCAGAGATTATAAATAGCACTAAGTAGGTAAGGACTAACCCGGCCCAAAAACCCACAACAAACACAAGTGCCCTTACTCCCCAACACCAGGCCAGTGAGCAATGTGTAATAAGTAAATATAGTCTACATTTGGAAGAGGGACAAGAATGTATAGAGATATCCTGTATGAAACACAAGAGCACAAACAAGACCTAAAATGGGGATGGAACAAGAACACTCAGAAAGACCTCCTAACAAACCAATCCCAATCCTAAAGACAAAGGAAAACTAGAGAAATTTGAAAGCACTGGTGCACTAAGGTAACCATAATAACAAAACAATGCAAACCTAGCTCAACTCTAGCAGAAGAAGAGGTGTATTCAGGTCCAGGCCTAAAGACTATCCTCATTCTCTACTGCCCTATATACAGTACGTATCATTAAATCCAAAATAATGACTCACATAAAAATAGAAAGGCTAAAAAAACAAAACAGCAAAAACAAACAAAAAAACCAATCCACTGCCAAAAGACAAAGCAACTAACAGAGCAATCCACCAAAACCAGACATGATCCAGATGCTGCCACTATCAGAGAATTTAAGACAACTATGACCAATACAGTAAAGGCACGAGAAAGGTGGAAAAGGTGGACCATATAAACAGATGAAAAATTTCAGCACACCTAAGGAAAATATGAGGGAGTAAAATGAGAATCGTAGAAATAAAAATCATAGTACCAAAGACGAAAAATGCCTTTGATAAACTCATCAGTAGACCTGATGCAAGTGAATTAAGAATCAATGAACTTAAACACAGCTCAAAAGAAATTGCCCAAACTGAAATAGAGGAAGAAGAAAAAAAAAAAGAGCAAAAAAAAAAGGAATTAAACACCATATGGAGATATAACTAAAAAGAGAATAAAGTGGGAAGATAAAGGCAAAAAAAATTATACAGTATGCAGAACAAAGTCAAGATGGGATGAAAAATAAGCAAGCATAAAAGATACAGATAGGCTGAAAAGATTTAAGATATACTTAAAGTTCAAGAACGAGATGACAGAAGAACAAGGTAATATCCAAAGAGAAAATGAAACTTTTTGATTAAAACAAAAACTCGAAGAGTCCAACAAATCCAAAAATACAACTACAAATTCACATCGTAAAGATAAAAAGAAGACTTTTAATGCAGCCACAAGGAAAATGTAGATCAGCTATAAAGGAAGGGCAATTAGATTAATAATGGACCTCTCAAAAAATACTAAGTGCCAGAAACAATGACTATATTGACTGTGCTAAGAAAAAAGAAAAAAAAAAGGATTCTCCTCCCCAAATTGCATTCATGGCAAAACAATCCTCAAGAATGATACAAAATATAGTTTCAGTCGAAATAAAAAAGAAAAAGAAATACACCCAGCTGAGCTGTTTATCAACAA